GAAGGTCCCAGGAAGGCCCACTGCAGGCACATCAGCCCACAAAGGGCCACAAGCAGAGCTACCTCGGCAGAGTCAGCCGGCTCCGTTTGCCCGGCTCCGTTGGCCTTCTGAGTCCAGTCAGCATGGTGAGCCGCCATTGATGGTCTTCCTGTGCCTTTTTCAAGCCCAAGCGTGCTCGGTCGTGTGGGAGAGGTATCTATGTCTATATTTCCATCAAGCCGTGGCAATCCTTTAGTCAGTCATATACAATTATTCCCCTGTCCGACCTTATCCCATCAGCATGTCTCAGTAATTAATTATGTAGGTCAATTCGATGTTTCAGTAGCTGTTGCGTCCATTTTGAATTGGCCCCTACAAGCGGGATCCGAGCACCATCCTGGGCCATGGCACGCCGGATCGTCTCGCCATCGCGATGGTCGTGTTGTTTCGCTGTGCGTCGTCTCACCGGGTCGGGCTGGGGAAAAAAATGCTGCAGACATCCGCTGTCAGACTCCATCCTGCTGTCATGAGACTCTATCCTCCTGGCGATGAGATCATGAAGAAGCGTAGCCCTAGACTCCTTGACAGTTATTCTGGCCCCCGCTGAGCAGGGTCAACTCGGAGGCAATTTGGTGCTCCTGGTGGCCAGCCCCGGAAAACTGCTCATCAAGCAAAGGCGCACCCGCATCCATCAACATCCCCAAGTGTTGGATATGGTTTTTGTCCCTTAAGCCCCAGACCAATCTCCTTCAAACCCTCAAACAGGGTCCAAGCCTTGTGCTGATCTTGCACCGACTCAGCCTCAAAACTACCGCCTCGTCGCCTCATGCACACCTCTTTTGCTTTGCACATCTGGCGGGACCCGCGCACATCCGGACGTTCACTCGATGTGCCGCACCTGCTGTGGCGACCTCGCAGGTCCAGCCGGTCCCGCAACCCCCAGCAACAGCGCGTTTCATCGACACGACAAACTCTGAGAGGGTCCAGAAATGATGAGAAACGTTGCGGATCAACTCTCATCAACAAGTAAAAATGACCAAACCATCTCAGTGGATCACCATGTAGGGTGTGTTTCTTTGACAACAGAAGGAACAGCCCCAATGACTGGGATAGTGCATCAACTCCCCCTCCATTGCACGCTGCCGTGTCTCTTTTTTCCGGCAGTGCCTGGAAGTCTGAAGAGTGCTCCCTCCAGTTGAGCACCAAGTGCTTTCATCATTTCCGTTACTGCCAGGTTGCCCTGATGGGATGAGAAGAGAACTTCATCATTGGCCAGGCTGGCCAGATTCTCCATAAATCTCCTCTGGGACGGAAGTGCTAAGCGCCTGAAGATACCACAGCAGCATTCACAAGTAAAAAGAACAGGAGGAATTCCACCCCAACTGATATAGTAGAGAACGTCCGACACCAAAATCACGTCAAAAGTCTTTGGCGCCGCCTTCCTGCTGTCACCCCATGCCTCATGCAGCAACTCTTGGGGTGACGACACCTCCTCAGACAAGCGTCCCAGATCGAACTGGGCAAATCCTGCGCACATGGGGCAGTTCTCTTGCGCAGTCTCCACCATAGTCACACTGATGTCGGTCCCATAGTGCTTCGCTGCAGGATGCATCTTCATTAAGCTTGAAAGTATGAAGCCAACGTTACACGACACATCCAGCAGCGATGTGTATTTCTTTCGCGCCAAGTATCTAAACACGTCGCTGCGCGTCAAACGCTGTTGGTCATACTTCCACACGCCACCTGAATTTTGCTGTCCATGTCGGTGAATGGCATCCCACGTGTCAGGGCTTGGCACAAAGTAGGCTCGCCAAACACCCCCACGATGAAAGTTCAACAGCTCGTCGCTGAATAGGACGACATACCAAGCGGCCATCAACGCGAGCAAACATGCCGCGCAAGGCCGTCCGAAGAGGGCCCTCTTACATAGCATGGGTCAAAAGCCGAGGGGATAAGAAATCAGTTCAGGGACGTTTCAAGCAAGATGGGTCACTATACAACTACTCTTTGCAAAGACCATAGAACTGAGGACCCTGTGTGCTGAGCCCCGGAGCAGGTTCTCCAGGCAACCGGAGATTGACAACAAACAGAAGCCTCCAAGGAGACGGCTTTGTTGGTACATATGCTGTCGCTTGAGAACGACGCATCACGTGAGCCTCATGTCATGACCGAACAACCTTCACGAAGCTTCAGCAGCTCGCCGAAAAGGGTGTTTTTCAAGTTGAAAAAAAATAAACATGCATGGCATTGGCATATAACCATCATTGGGTAAAAAATGTCCGACTCCTGGCATCCCCACATCCTCATTTTCTCGGGCGTGGGTGGAACATGAAGTGTGGTTGCTTCGGTTGGAAGGAGGCACCCCGAATGCCATGAATCCAAGCTTCCAAAATCAATTAAGTGGAGGGCCACAAACCATCCACCAACAGTTCTTGAGACACTCAGGATCGTCTTCAGCTGAGGTTGAACCATGGGGAGCCCGACGTGGAGGATGATCCAGCGTCTTGCCCACGATGAACCATGACACTCAGGATGTCAGTTCCTGCAAAACATCTTGGCTTCGGGTGGGTCTTGGGGAAGCCAACGATGGCTCGTTGCTGTCCAGCCCGTATCCGAATGTCTACTCACCTTGGATCTTGCACCTTTCTGGCATCTCCCAGATCCGCACTTTCCTGGATTTGGCATCTGACTCGCCAGGAACATCTGTCCTGCTAGGTTAGACCATGTCGATGCCTTGAGAAGGCGGTGATTTTCGGAGGGACAAGTCCCTACACACTAGCAATGTTTACTTGCAGCCCTCCGCACCCTCAAATTCATCAAAAGAGATGTATATGCAGATCGTCAGAGGATTTAAGAGGTGGATCCTTGAAATGCTCGAAACGTTTGATGGATGTGGATGTGGTGCCATTGATTGAGAAGCACTGCCATCGGTTATTATGTGTTTGTCTCTTTTTGTTGCAAATGTGTGGTCAAATCATAACACCCTGAGCTCACACAAAGAGCTCTTTTCACCAAAAATAGAAATAGAAGTCACATGTCAACACCTCAACCGGGGCCATAAGCAGCGGGAAACTGCTTGGCTAGAAGTCCGAAATGAACAGAGCAGGGAATGCCTTACAAATCCTTACAGTCTCAGAGTGTTCAGTCGCTGGAGACCACGAGAAGCAATGCGCCGGACGTTTTTCTGCGAACGCTGGAGACGAACCTGCACGCGACAGATTTTTGCTCAGGCACCATGCAAGGTGAGGACTGGCCAGTCACTTAGGCGCCAGGTGCTGGAACTTCTCCTTGTAGTACTGATTGTGGCAATAGCTCTCGCGACAATAGATCACGTCGCCATGGTAGTTGCCCATGGCGCAAGCAAACAGGACATACTTCTCGGCATCTTCCACTCGCGTGAAATGATCCTTCGGTCCCGCCGGGATCGCTGAGAAGCCCACGCTACGCCAGCCATTGGGTTCCTCGAATTCATCGCCCCAAACATCGACCCTGAACCTCTAGGGAATTACAAGGCAAACGGGGTCCAAAGCCCACCAATTGGCATGTTTTAGAGCCCAACACAGAGTCTACAATGATCTACAATGCGAAGCAGTCCGAAGCACAGTCCTGGATGAAGCCTCATCAGAGAACTCTGCACATGATCAGGCTTGAAAAAATATGTTCTACTACAGCATATTCCACCAACTGCTCCTTCCTGCTTGGTTTGCACATCGCCCACAGGTCCTAAGTCTAGACTTTGGAGCTATATAGATGCTTGGTGCGCCCAGGTGACCCGTGACCCTAAACATGATTGTTCACCATGGTTCGGGATAGCGTGCGTCGCACATGGCCTCTGCCTCGGGGATGGTGGTATTCAGCGTCACCTGGTCATTTTGGCAGTGTCCCACCAGGAAGCAGTAGCTCGCATCGATGTCATCCAGCGGATGCAGCTCGACACTTTTGGCAAAAAGGGCCTTTGCAGTGGCTAGAGGATCGTGCCGTAGCAAACAATGAGGGACCACGGCTTCAATGCTTCTGGCCTCGGAGTAGCACCAAGACTGAAGATTTGTGCCACTGGGTTTGGCAATACCATGCTGCAAGTCTTCGAGGCTTTCCAATGTCCCAGTGGCGTTGAGACAGTCGAAAGGTTCTTCACACATGTAATGCCACACCAGGCATGAGGCTGCCGGTCTCACGGGCAAATCGGAGTCACGCGCCGCGTCACTTGCCTGCGTCGCGAGCCGGTATCGCTGTTCCATCTGAAGGAAATGGGTTCCGATTCCCGCACACTCGATCTCTTCGCAGCTAGATCTGCACCGTGCAAGGAGGAGCGCGAGGAGGGGCCAACGACCCATCGCTCCGGATCGCTTGCCTGGATGCGACTGCTCTGCCCCACCCACCAACCGACATACAGTGGGGTCAGTGCGGAGATGGCCACCTAGGGGGGTCAGGACTTGTTGTCATGGCTGTGTGATGTCAGACTGTCATTCATTGGCGATCGATGCGATTTCACTCTCTTTTGCTGTCTCACTGTCTCCCCTGGTCGGCTTGAAGACTGCGGAGGTCCGTCCCAAGGGTGTGTGAGCCTTGCAGCAACTTTATCTTTTTTCTAGAGGTCCTGTTGCTTCAAAGATTCCGTGAGACAAAGTCTGTCAAACCCTTTCATCTTTCGACCTCGACCTGGTCATCTGCCACTTCGCAGGATACTTGGCACTATTTGGCACTCAAATCTAATCTAAATTGATCTAAATTGATATTCCCCTCACGCCCCTCACCTGAGCTCAGGATTTTCCAAGCCGATCTACCGCAACCGAGTCACGTCTCGCCCGGAAGCATGATTGCGTCCACCCAGGTTAACAAATGAAGACCAGTTCTAGTGCTCTTGGGTATGCCACATTCGTTTCTCCGCTTTTTCGGGATGTCTCCATAGGTCCTGAAAAAGGTCCACATCAGTCGACCAACCGATTGGGGAAAAGGTGCTCCACCATCGGCTGCAAACCACCGTCCCGCTCCTCAGATGGCCAGTCCACGCCTGCCGTCACGGCGATCTCTCTACTTCGCCCCTGCCAAGGCAGCCTCCACATGGCGGACATGGGGATGGACTTTCCATGCACACCGCAGTCCCAAAGTTCATCGATGGACTTCATCCTTTGTCTCTCCTTGTTTGCAGTTTTTTTCCAGTGGACATTTGACAGAAGTCACAAGACCACACCCGCGAAAAGGGTCTGCATGGAGCCTCGTGTAAGACATAGTCGGCTTCTTGTTTTCAGAAACACCTTCTAGTGACTTTGGAACCTAACCCTCAATATCAGTCCTGTCCTTGGTTGCATTGTGACAAGGGTGGGATCAGGCTGACTTGATCGCCGCAAAACAAGATGCCGCCAAAATACTTCTTGCGATTTTTTGGGAGTTTGCAGTGGCCCAAAGCGACCCGCGCTTCGTCGGCCCCGCTCGGGGCGCAGGCGCTTCTTCGCGCCTTCGCGTCTGTCAGGGACTCCTTCTCTTGAGCACGGGCCTCTTGGGGCCGTGGTGCCAGGGTGGAAACCTGGTTTCGGGGTTTCACCTGGTGCGGCCATCCGGTGGGTGAAAGCGGCATTTCACCCGGTCAGATCGTGTTGGTTCCCTCTCTGTTGCTCCCACCCCACCCCCCTTTGGGCAAAGCCTTGGGGTATGTTCCTTGGGCCAAGGAGGCAGAGAATGATCATCTGCTGGCTGCTTCTTCGACACCTTCCTACCCGGCGACCCGGGGTCACACCACACATGTTCACCGGTTCCGAACTCTTGGGAGCCACGAGCGAACCACGAACAGAACCCGTTCGGAGGAACGGGACCGGCGTGGGAGCGATCACCGGACACGCACGTTCCAACCCGAGACAACACAACTGGGCTCTGGCGTCCAAACCAAATGACACGCGGAACACAACGAGGCTGTCTCAGAAATCAGGAAAACGGCCAATAGCCAGGAAATGATCTCAAAGATTAAACAGTGAAGAATTGGTTTCCAAGATCTTCCAAGTCTTCATTGGCTTCTGGTTTCTCCCATCAAATTGAGTTTATAACTTAACCATTTTCCTTGACCCTTCCCGTCCCTGGGCCAGGTCTGTGGGTCAGCGCCGTCTTGCGCGTCTCGTAGTTGGCCAGCAGCCAGCTGCAATCCTTCCGCGTCTGTGCGTCTTGCGCTGTACATCGTTCGGCATGCTCGGTTGGGTTCGTAACAAAGCTTGGTTGAGCTGGGGGAACCCTTTGGAATGGAGTCGTTGATCGCAGAATATCTCCCTGAAACTGTGACCAGCTGCTGTACCCAATGGCAAGCAGTCGGTGTCTGGTTCAGAATTGCGCTTTCGACCCCCTAGTCGGCCAGCAAATGGTACATCGAACACACTGTCGGTACAAGGGAGAGTCTTAGTCATCAGCAAAAATAGCTTTCCAAAGTTGGGCACTCTGCAAGTGACGAGCCACCAGCTGGGC